CAGAGGAACGAAAATCAGACGTTCAGAGTCTTTAGCATGGGAATTATCAGGTAGAGAGTTACAATATTGCTATGCTGAATAGAGTTAAGACATAAAAGAGAGATGACGATGTGGGCAGCATCGAGAGACTAAAAAATGATCAAACAAATTTAAAGACAAATCTCAAGTCAAAATTCTAGAAATTATTAAGGTAAAAGTTGAATTTAAAATTCAATAGCTGGATTAAGCAGAAGATGAGACACAGTGGAAAAGAGACTAGTACCCTAGAAGGTACATCTGTAGAAATTACCCGGAAAGCTGTCTAGAAGACAAAGAGATGGAAAATAAGAAAGAGAAGTTAAAAGATATGGAAAATAGAAAGAGAAACTCTAACATATGTTGAATTAGACTTCCAGAAAAAGATAATAATATCATCATATGAGCTAAGAAGTATATAGTACTTACTATGTGTCTGTGTTCTAAACTATTATATAATTAACTCATTAATCTTTGCAACAAACCTATAAAGTAGATAATAATGTCATCCTCATTTTCCCAATGAGGACACCAAACCCAAGGGACTTATGGCGTATGTCTAAGGTCATGTGGAGATGCCAAGCCTTCTGGCTCCAGAGTTTGTGTTCTAAACCACTCTGCAATATTTCAAGAAAATTGGCCAGAAATGATGGAATCCTGAAATCCAGGAAACTCCACAAACCCCAAAGACGATATGAAAAACAAAGCCACTTGACACATTCTGGTGAAAGTATACCACACCGAGAACAAGGAAAGCTCTTAGAAAGAAAAAAGGCAGATCATTACAAGCGGATGGCAACTTGACTGATGGCCAATGTCACGACAGTAACATTGGCAGTCAAAGATGGGGGATCTTCAACGTGCTGGAGGGAAGTAACTGCCACCCTACAATGCTAAACCTGGGAAAACCATCTTCAGAAAATGAGGGTGAAACAACGACATTTTCAGATGGAGAAAAAATGGAGAACTTACCACCCACAGTCTCTCACGACAGAAACTTCTGAAGAAAGTGTTTCGAGGAATGGAAGATAGGAGATATGAAATGGGAGGATGAGCAGAAACACAGTGATTGTGGGGGTATATCTGAACAAACACTGATTATTTAAAACAATATTAAGTATTTAGTTTCTTGGGGGAAACAGAGTCAAAATTAAGTACTGGAGAAAGATAGGATGGAAGGAAGGAAACAGAAGTTAAAGCTTTCTGTGGTCTTGGCGGTGTTCATGAGGACGGCAGTCTGCTGGGGACAGTTGTACAATTTGTCCACTGCACCAAACAAAGTACAAGGATAAGAGGGGAGAGGGGACTGAAATACAATCTACTGGTTAACCCTCGTGTCATGCAGGGCTGTGACTACCGGGAAGAGGGTAGCACATTTTTCTTCCCACAAAAGCAAGATCAGGGCTACACCAGCTCAGAGAAGTCACCTTTTCCTAATTTGCATAAAGGAGCTGGAAGGGGCCGCCTTCACAGGTTAAAAATACTGATTGCCTTTAGACTTTATGTAAGTATGTTAAACAGCCACAGTAACTGCCTGGAAAATAGACAGAGAGAGCAAAACTTTCAGACAAGTCCAGGAGAAACAAACATCCTCTGTAAAGCCAGTGACATTCTGAGCAGTCCAGAAGAACTTCCTGTTCTCCCGTTTTCGGAGAAATCTTTTTAAAATGGGAAGACTCAGAGACCCGTTTCTGGTAAGCCGATGATTTTAATGACTGTTGACTAAACTGTCAGGGTTGCCATAGCATCTCTTACTAGAGCGGGTCTGTGTCAAGTCTGCACGGAGCAGCTTCCCTTTTCGGCCGGCAGAGTTCTGCTCGGGCCGCCGAGCACGTGAGCCCCTTCGTCATACGCTCTCCAGCACGGGTGCCGAGCTGTCAGATATCTGAAAATCTGAAAGTGAAATTATCTCAGTGGCATTTCAGTTGCCCTTTCTCATCATGAGGATGTTTCAGCGTTTTTTCTCGTGTTTAAGCAACATGGATTTTCTAGGAACTGAGCTGGTCATTTTCTTATTTGATTGTCAGGCGTCTTTCTTAGTAACGTATGGGAACTCTTCCTATATATATGTATATATTTAGGTTTCTGTCCAAGACACGCATTACAAATATTTTTCATAGTTTGTTGTTTGATTTGCTTACGGTGGCTTTTTCCATGTGGAAAAAATTATTTTTAATCTTTAATAGTTTTTAATCCATATTTTGATTTGTGGCTTCTGAGTTTTGAGTCATAGTTGGGAAGACCTTCCCCAATCCAAGGTAATTACAGACTTTTCCCACGTTTTCTTCTGGTTTTTTAGGCTTTCCTTATTTATATTTAAGTATACCATCCATCTGAAGCTGAACATGGTGCGAGATGCGAGCCATGATGCCCACTCCCTTTACTCCAGATGGCTTCCCCATTGCCCGATAACGTTTCCTAGACAGCCCGTCCCCACCTCCTCCCACTTCAAGGAGCGCCTTTCGTGCACTGAACTCTACATGCATGTATGGGTGATTCCTAAGACTTTCGACCCCACTGCACCGACCTCCCCGTCTGCGGGTGTGTTGGCCCCACCTCGTTGGAGTCACTGAGACTTCGGAATGTGTTCTAAAATCTGGTAGGGCTGGTCAGTCCTCACTGCTGTCTTTTTTTCTCCAGAAGTAGTTGAGGTTTCATTTTATTGTATCTTCTAACTGCTTTTTCATACCTAGGAAAGCTGTGGTTTTCTGTAGAGGAGTTCTGTACCCAGCCGCCTTTCTGAGCTTGCTTGCTTTGTGGGAGTTTCTCCGTTGACTCTCTGGGGTTTCCCAGGTATAGTGTCACAGCACCTGCCCTTCTCCCCGAAGCCCACTCCTTCGACCTTCCAGCCCCCCTGTCCACGAGAACCACGCCTGTCAAGATCAGCGATGACTCTGTATTGCATATGCCAAGGTCCGTTCTCAGTCTGCATCTTACTCAGTCCCCCTAGCAGGACTGATGCTATTGCACACTCCCACTTTCTTTCTTTTTTTTTTAAAGATTGGCACCTGAGCTAACGACTGTTGCCTATCTTCTTTTTCTTTTTTTTTTTTCAATTCTTCTCCCCAAAGCCCCCCAGCACATAGCTGTAGATTCTAGTCGTGAGTGCCCCTCGTTGTGCTATGTGGGATGCCACCTCAGCATGGCCTGACGAGTGGTGCCACGTCCTCGCCCAGGATCCGAACCAGCAAAACCCTGGGCGGCCGAAGTGGAGCGCGTGAACTTAACCACTCGGCCCCGGGGCCGGCCCCTCACTCCCACTTTCTAGAACCAGTTTTTCAGTTCAATGTCTAGGATGTTCTGCTTTCCTAGTTCGCGCCTCCTTCAGTAGCCGCCTCCTACGACTGTGTTCACTGCATCCTCCTCTTCTCCCAGGTCTCTGGAGTTTGGAGGACCTAATGCTGTGTCTCAAACTCTTCTCATCAACACTCACCCCCAGAGTGAGCTCACCCAGCTCCTGCGGAATGTGAGGGGCGTAGTCTTGTGTGCGACTCGTCACTGCGTCTTCACTGCCTGGAGGAGTGCCTGGCACGGCACAGGCACACGATAGTGTTGGGTAAATGAATAAACGAGGGAATCAATTCTTCTGCTTGTTTGAAACGCTTCATAGTTGAGTTTTTAAAGGAAAGGACAAGTGAGTCAATTTGGCTGCAGCGTAGGCACGTGAAAGGAAGTCAGAGGAGCTGAGGCTGAAGATAGTGGTTGGCTCTGGGTGATCCAAAAATCTAGCCCTTTTGTAGATGGACAAAGGTGAAGAGTAGTGTGTGTGGTGTGCTAAATTCTTTATCTTTCATAAGGGGACTTAATGTACTCTGTCGTTGATATTGATAAATCAAAAATAGAAGTGTAGTTTTATTATGCAAAGCTGTCAGATAACTTGTAAAAGAGTTAAGAATGGAAACTGCAAACATTGGTTGCTACTGGGGAATGAGGTTAGGAGAGACTTTCCATTTCATTTTATACATTTTGATGTCACGAAATACAACTCATATGCATCTATTACTTCTGTGATTAACTGTAAAAAGGATCAGGTGAGCCAGGCTGTGCAGGACCCTGAACGGCGAGCACACTATCTTTAGTTCTGGAAGGTCACACTGCCTGGTGGGTGGGCTTCCTGCACAGCTCACAGTGGGTGCCAAAGGCTCCAGGACAGGCATTCCTCACAGGGAGGGGGCCTGGGGTGGTAGGATGGGGAGCAGCCAAGATAAGTGACTGAAGTCACAGCAAATGAGAGCCGTCTCGTGAGGCTTCTTATCTCGCACATCTCCGGAATCTCATTTGCCAATGCCCCTCGTGCAGGAAATCACAGGGGCTGGCCGGCATCTTGATAAACCCCACTTAGTCACCAGATTTCACTCCCGCTCCCGCAGGCACCTCTCCTTCCAGAGGTTAGAAAAGCATCCTCTGCTGTTTATCTTCCCCAGGAGAGTTCTTTCTTTCTACTCACCATCTCCAACAAGAGGAATGGTGCTAGGGTAAGAGTCTACTCAAGGACTATCTTCTTTCGAAGGCGGTTTTGTTTTCTCCCTCTTAGTCCACACGCTTATGAATTCATCTTAGGGTGGGGCGTGCAGGGAGCCAGGGGCAAGAGTCAGGAGACGTGGAGCTCCCTCAAGGACACTCTGGGTGCGGGAGCTCAGACGGTGGGAGAGCCAAACGGGGTCAACCAGATCTCTCTGCTTCTGTTCTATCCCTTTGTCTCCAAACGTTCAAATCTGCAACTAAGGAGAGAACTAGTTTGCTAATTTTACTGTAGGGAGAAAGATGGCATGCAGGCATTGCTTTCCAGAGCTAAACTGTTGTCAGTAACTTCAGGTGTCACAGATTTGCTTGCTATTCAAAGATCTTTTTTTTCTTTGTATCTGGCATTGTCCCTGTGGAAAACACAGAGCACAATCTAATGGGGTATTTGAGGAGTGTTTAATAAAGGGACTGTGTACAAAGGTCTGAGCAGGGCTGAGGGAACTCTATAAAGGATACTGAAACCCCCAAAGACAGGTCATAATAGGAAGCTGTTACCTCAGTTGGCCTGAAGGGGAAAGGGAAGGAGAAGTTACCAGAACTCAGGGAGGGTTGTGGCTGTGGCTGTGGCTGTGGCTGTCACTGTGGTGGTAGGAAAGGGCCACCAGACAGGGATTCTGTCCTCAGGTAGAGTGACACCACCACTGCCAAACCACAGCCTGGCAGGGAGAGCGCCAGAAAGTTTGACACCCCAAATCCCCCTCCTCTAGCCCTCCAGTCTCCTGTCAGGGTCTCCCTTCCCTGAAAGCGACCAGGAGCCCCAGGGAAGGGAGCCCATTGGTGAGGCACAGAGACGTGCCCTCCCAGGACGCAGAGGAGGGTGGAGAAGGTGGAAAGGAGATTTGATGGCAAATGGAGAGAACCGGGCTCTTCTCACAGCCTCATCACAGTCAGTCTCCCCGGGACTGTCCCTCAGTGAGCTTGCCAGTTTCTCATTGTATCTCCTCAGTTTGTTTCTTGACCGACTGTCTGTCCACACCTCTCTATCCGGGTTCACTTCTTTGGAATAATCTCTTACTATCATCATAAATGCAGTGAGAAAGGAATGTAGCTTTTTTTTAAAAGGTGGGTGTACACGGGTATTTATAGATATTTTAAGTTTATGATTTTGGCTGCTCTAAAAAGAAACCCATTGTAAGATTGATTGTGTCACTCGCACAGAGTTAGGCCCTGGGACACAGCAGTGGACAGGAGAAAAGCACGTCCTGTCCTCATGAAGCTGACACCCTGGCCCATCTCTAGCCCAAGACGTCTGGCCATACTCACTCCTGTCATAGCAAGGGGTCACCTTCCCCTCATGACCCAAGTCATGATCTCCTCTCTCCCTGGCGGATGGACCGCTCTCAGTCTCTGAGCCTGCCCCTAGCTCGTGCCTGGGGCTTCTGACTTCCTGCCCCTGAGAAGAACCCACTGCCCCAGGGCAGAAGCCATGCCGGACTCAGAGGCCTGTTGTCATCCACACCGCCTGTCCACACTTAGCTCCTCCTGCCTCCAGGAGAGGTGACATGGCCTAGGACAGTGAGTGGGGATGTTTGGACCCTAGAATGTTCTCATGTCAGTAGAGGGCCCGTGGTGCAGCAGAGAGAGCCCAGGCTTTTAGAGTCAGAGGGAACTGGGTTTGAATCCAAGGTCCAGGTCTCCAAGGCTGTGTGGCCTTCAGTAAGGACCTTAATGTCTGCAAGCCTCCATTTCCGTCCTGCAACATGGCGGCAGCAATTCCCACATCGCAGGGTGGCCGTGAGAGTCAGTGATCATACAGCAGGTGCTCACGTCTTGTTTCTGTTCCCAGCGTCACCAGTGGAGGGTTTCTGGGTGCAGATCCAACCACCTCAGCCTGGGGGACAGAATTCACACCAGTGAATGGAAGTTACCAGGCCCCACCTCAAACTGTTGACATGGTGGCGGTGATCCAGGCCGCGCTGGTCTTCATCACCCTGGTCGGGCTGCCTGGAAACGCAGCCATGCTCTGGATCCTGGGCTTCCGCATGCGGAGGAACCCCTTCACTGTCTACATCCTCAACCTGGCTGGAGCAGACTTCCTCTTCCTCTCCTTACAGATTGTGTATTCCCTGGTGAATCTCGGCAGCGTCCTCCACTCCGTCTCCATGTCCATCTCCAACGTTTTGACCACTGTGTGGACCTTTGCCTACATCGCAGGCCTGAGTATTCTCAGCACCGTTAGCACCGAGCGCTGCCTGTCCATCCTGTGCCCCATCTGGTACCGCTGCCGTCGCCCCAGATACTCATCAGCTGTCATATGTGCCCTGCTCTGGGCCCTGTCCCTGGTGCTGAGCGTCCTGGAGGGAAAGTACTGTGGCTTCCTGTCTAGGGATCCTCACTACCATTGGTGTCGGGTACTTGATTTGATCACTGCCACGTGGCTCATTTTCTTATGTGTGCTTCTCTCTGGGTCCAGCCTCACCCTACTGACCAGGTTACTGTGTGGCTCCCAGCGAGTGCCCCTGACCAGGCTGTATGTGACCATCGTGCTCACGGTGCTGGTCTTCCTGCTCTGCGGCCTGCCCTTCGGCATGTACTGGTTCCTCTTAATCTGGGTTTACCATGGTGTTGATGTGTTCCCCTTTCTTCATCTGTTTACAACTGTCCTGTCCTGGGTCAACAGCAGTGCCAACCCCATCATTTACTTCTTCGTTGGCTCCTTTAGGCGGAGGCAGCGGGGGCGGACCCTGAAGCTGGTTCTCCAGAGGGCTCTGCAGGACTCTCCCGAGGCGGAGGGAAGCGAGGGCAGCCTTCCTCCGGAAACCCTGGAGATGTCCAGAAGCAGTCTGGTGTCCCGATGATGTGGGCCCTGATACCAGCTCCCTTACATTCAACCCAGCATCTATGGGGTTAAAACCCAAAGCGCCCATCCCCTTCCTCTGCTTCTCTAAGTTACAGTCATATGTAAATGTCAGTTTTTAAACCTTTATATCCCTGAACTTCACAGACAAATAGAACTTACAAATTGTTAGAGTCCAGGTAGCCTCATGCTAACATTTTGGCTAGTTACAGGTCCTTTGAAGTTTTGCTACAGGGAAACTGATGCCCAAAGAGTATCAAGAAACTGAAGCTTCCCAGACCTCAACCCCTCAGCTTCCTGGCACCAGAATCTGCCATCCACCATGGAGGCAGATGGCCAAGGACATCCACCTGCAGATTCCCTCATCATGCCATTCCCCTCCCTGTAAGCAGCCTCACAAAGCCAAACGCAGGCTGGTGGGAAAGTGGGACCTGCAAGGCCACCTGCTCCCCCTCCCCCACCTAAGGCCTCAAATAAAAACCCCTGCCTTTTTTCCTCTGAAGAGGTGGATCTGAGTTCTAACCAACTCCCATCTCCTCGTCTGGCTGCCTTTCGATAAAACTCTTTCCTTACCTCAAGCCTGGCATTCCCATTTTTATTTTGGTCTCTCTCTCGTGTGGTGGGTTAGAGAGGCTGTGTTTGTGGCCGGTAACACTGACTCAGTCTCCGCTTTGGTCAGACTGATGTGGCTTTCAAGGCCAACTTTGTCCCTATCAGTTTGGGAGGTTTTACTAACTTCTGTCAGCCTCTGGGCTCCTGATCTTAAACGGCGAGGATAAGAATCCTCCTCGTGAGGATTAAGGGAGACAGCGTAGCCTCTCCAGGCCGCCTTACCCAGGACCTTCCCCCATCCCCACGGGAGCTTTGCCAACCCTGGGGTCCCAGACTGCTCCCACTTTTGAAGAACTCCACTTTCTGCAGAGGCTGAAAGCAGTGCAGGAAAAGTTTAGATGCCTTCACTCACTGCGCCTGATAAGGACTACAAGAACATTACATTTTTGATGAGTTTTTGTGGCCACTTTCCTACAATCTGTCTCAATAAAATTAAAAGAATTAAAGTTCCATCTGACCCCAAAGATCAGTCTTCCCTGATTTTGGCAGGCCTTAGAGGATCTCCCTAGCTTCATAAATGTTTATGGAATAAGTGACCTAATGAATGAATAAATGGTGAACTTTGAAGTCAAGTCTGTGCCAAATCTCCATTTACCAGATTTGGGTCACCATCTCTAAGTTTCTTTCTTTCACCATTTTCAACTGTTTTTTTTTTTTAAAGATTTTATTTTTTCCTTTTTCTCCCCAAAGCCCCCCGGTACATAGTTGTGTATTCTTCGTTGTGGGTTCTTCTAGTTGTGGCATGTGGGACGCTGCCTCAGTGTGGTCTGATGAGCAGTGCCATGTCCACGCCCAGGATTCGAACTAACGAAACACTGGGCTGCCTGCAGTGGAGCACGCGAACTTAACCACTCTGCCACGGGGCCAGCCCCTCACCATTTTCAACTTTTGCAAACACACAGTTAAGTTTTATACCCAGATGAGTCAATGTCGAAACATAGTTAAGGCTTGAGCTAGGTGGCTTTCCCGTGTCTGCCTATCGCGTGCCCGCCAGTGGAATCCACGTGCGTCCCTCCTCATTCTTGCCGCTTCAGCTTTGTCCTCACTCCCCCTCTCTGGAGGCTCGTAGCTTCATGGCAGGTTTCCAGTGTCTCTTCCTAGAATCCATGTGCCCTGAAGACAGATCTATGTCAGATTTACCTTTTACTTCAAAGAGCTCATGATATTTATTTTATTCATCTAGTTGCACAAAAATATTTTTAAATTATATGTTCTATAAAAATACTATATTAAGTTTAAATATTCTATTTTTCTTTTTTTTAATGGAGACATAATTAAGAGAGAGTGATTGCATGGCTCCTAAGTGTATAGTTTGATGAGTTTCGGCAATAAATACACCATGTGATTCAAACTCCAGTCAAGACACAACACATTTTCATAACCTCGGAAAGTTCCCTTCCAAGCCTCCCACTCGTCCGTCCTGCCCCAGAGACAACTGTTTTTCCTGTTTTGTCTCCAAAGATTAGTTTTGCCAGACCTTTGACCTCATAGATTTCAGATCATACAATGCACTTTTTTGTTCCCACCTTCCTTCACTCCGCATCACATTTTGGGATTTACCCCTCCTTGCGTTGCGTATATCAGTAGCTTGCCCCTTTTAGAAAGCTGAGTGCTATTTAATTATTTGAATGCCCACGGTGTATTTTCATATTGATAGATATGTATGTAAAATTCCACTTTCGGTTATTGTGAACAAAGCTGCTGTACACATTCTTATTCAAGTCTTTTTCTGGACGTATGTTTTCATTTCTCTTGGATAAATAACCTGAAGTCAAATTGCTGGGTCATAGGAAGGAAGATGTGTGCTTAACTCACTGAGAAATTGCCAAATGCTTTCCTAAAGTTGTTGTGCTGTTTCGCATTCCCATCAGCAGTGTACGAAAGTTCCTGTTGCTGCACACGCTCCCCAGCAAGCGTGATATTGCCAGTCTTTTGAATTTTAGTCATTCCAATGAGCGTGAAGTGGTACCTCTGTGTGTTTTAATTTGCGCTTCCCAAATGACCTATGAAACTGAGCATCTCTTCGTGTGCTTGTTGACACTTGCATTTTTTTGTTGTCTAAGTTTTGCCCATTTTTAAGTGTTTCCCTTTTTAGTTATTTACTTGTAGGAGTTTTTATATATGCTGAATGAGTCCTTTGTCAGTTATGCGTATTATAAATGTTTACCCAGTTGGTAGTATGCCTATTCATTTTCAATAGATTTTATGTTTTAGAGCACTTTTAGATGTACAGAAAAATTGCGCAGAAAGTACAGAGGGTTCCCATACAGAACAGTTTCTCTGTCCCCAGAATGAATATGTAGGTAAATTTTTTTGGTGTTTATCCTGCTTGATGTTCTCTGAGCTACCTCAATCTGTGGTTTGGTGCCTGCCAATAGTTTGGAACATTCAAATATTTCTTCTGTTCCTTTCTCTCTTTCTTCTGCTTCTGATATTCCCAATGTACGTAACACCTTTCGTAATCATCCCACAGCTCTCGAACATTCTGTTCTGTTTTTTCTCTTGGCTTCAGTTTGGGAAGTTTCTATCAACATATCTTCAGGCTCACTGATTCTTTCAAAGGCTGTGTCTAGTCCTCTGATGAGCTCATCAAAGGCCTTCTTCTTTTCTGTTACAATGTTTATTTCTAGCATTTCCTCTCTCTCGGAGTTTCCATCTCTCTGCTTATATTGTCCATCTGCTCTTGCATATTGTCCACTTTTCCAACTAGTATCCTTAGCATATTAATCACAGTTATTTTAAATTCCCCATCTGATAATTCCAAATTCTTGGCCATGTCCTAAATTCTTTATATCTGGTATGGGCAGGCAATTGAGTCTGTTGTTAATACTGATAAATTAAAAAATAGAAATATAATTTTATCATTTAAATATATAATCATATCTGATAAAAGAATTTAGGAGAAAAACTGAAACAAGTTGTTGCTTCTGGAGAATAGGATTCAGGAAGATTTTACCATTTATTTGATACAGATCCATGCCAATTGGAAAGAAAATGTAAACCTACATGCGTAACTACTAGGATAAAGAAACTGGGTGAGACAGGCCATGGAGAGCCTCAAATGACGAGTAAGGAGGGCGTGCTTTGTTCTCCTTATAAAGACTCCCAGCGCAGGCTCACACTGCTTGGCACCACTGCCCAGGCACACAGTTGGCAGCAAAAGGCTACATAACCGCAATCATTTGCAGGGACAGGCACCGGATGCCAAAGGTTGAGAGACAGGAGTAGCGTCAGACCAAAGGTTGAGAAACATCTGATGCTCAGCCATGACTCAGAGAACTGCGCGCTCTCATTTGCCAGCAGCTCCCTGTGTGGGAAATCACAAGGCCTGTCCAGCATCTTGATAAGCCTCCGTCCAGCGCCAGATTGCACTCCTACGCCTTTAGGCGCCTCTCTAAGGCAGAGAAGTGTCCTCTAGCGACAGTCAACCCCTGGAGGTTCTCCCGGTCAGCACGGGTCAGCTTGTCACCTCCATTGGGAGGAATGGAGGAAAGGTACGTTTATCAAGTATTTATTTCCAGGGCCACTGTGGGATTTTTTTCTCTTAGTGCACATCTAAATTAGTCCACCTGGGGGTGGAGCACTCAGGGAGACACAGGGGCTCCCCCAAGAAAAGAAAGGAAAAAAACCATAAGCTCCCTCCTGGCAACTTTAGGTGATAGTAGCCTCAACAGTGGGAGATCTGAACTGATAAACCAACACCGTCCCCCCTTATGAGACTCTCTTCCTAGCCTCTCCTCCATCCCAGCCCTTCAGATGTGTTGTCATGGTGGGAAATCCGTTGCTTTCTTTAATTTAGGAAGCAAAAGAGTGTATGTGCATGCATCCCAAAGCTCAAGTGCTGTGAAGAACCCAGTCATCTGTTTTACTCTTTTTGAAAGTCCTTTTCCTTTCTGTATCTCTCAAGATCCCAGCAGAAAAGATGGCCTAATATGGAATGACAGAAAATAATTTAATTAAGGGACAGTTTGCCAAAATGGGCAGATTTACAAAAAGTTACACAGAGTGGTGACCTCTGTCCCCTAAGGAAATTAACAGCAGGGAGCCTGGACAACACCGGGCTTGAAAAACAGGGGAAGGAGAAGTTACCAGAACTCAGGGAGGGCTGTGGCTGTCGCTGTCACTGTGGTGGTAGGAAAGGGCCACCAGACATGGATTCTGTCCTCAGGTAGAGTGACACCACCACTGCCAAATCACAGCCTGGCAGGGAGAGCGCCAGAAAGTTTGACACCCCAAATCCCCCTCCTCCAGCCCTCCAGTCTCCTGTCAGGGTCTCCCTTCCCTGAAAGCGACCAGGAGCCCCAGGGAAGGGAGCCCATTGGTGAGGCACAGAGACGTGCCCTCCCAGGACACAGAGGAGGGTGGAGAAGGTGGAAAAGAGATTTGATGGCAAATGGAGAAAACCCAGCTCGTCTCACAGGCTCATCACAGTCGGTTCCCCCCGGGCTCTCCCTCAGTGTGCTTGCCATTTCTCATTGTATCTCCTCAGTTTGTTTGTTGACTGACTGTTTGCACCTCATTATCAAGTGTCACTTCTTTGGAATAATCTCTCACTATCATCATAAATGCCTCGAAACTTGAATGTAGTTTTTGAAAAAAAAAAAAAAAAGAAAGGTGGAGGGGCCAGCCCGGGGCATAGTGGCTAAGTTTGCATGTTCTACTTCAGCGGCCTGAGGTTCGCCAGTTCAGATCCTGGGTGCAGACCTATGCACCGTTTATCAAGCCATGCTGTGGTAGGCGTCCCACATGTAAAGTAGAGGAAGATGGGCACGGATGTTAGCTCAGGGCCAGTCTTCCTCAGCAAAAAGAGGAGGATTGGCAGCAGATGTTAGCTCAGGGCTAATCTCCCTAAATAAATAAATAAAGATGGGCGTACATGGGTATTTATAGGTAGTTTAAGTTTATGATATTCAGCTCTAGAAGCAACCCATTGCACTAGTGACTTAAGAGTGAAGTTTTAGGACTAGACAGGTGACTCCAAGGCCCGAGACACCAAGGTCCTCCCAACATGATGCTCCCCACCTCTCAAGAGGTGACTTCACCCTTGGGGTCCTACACGGCTGTGGCCACATCAGCATTCTATCCAGAGGAGAAGGAAAGTCACCACCCAGGAACTGATACGTCACTTCTGCTCACCTCCCACCGGCCAGCGCCTAGTTGCGTGGTGCCACCCAGCATTAAGGGAGGTTGGGATTAGGATCCTCCCTCTGGTCTAAAACTCTCAGAATTATTATGTGAGAGAGGAGGGAAATGGGTATTTGGAGCGAATAGCAGTTTCTGCATCCCCGGATCTCTCCCCCATTCTGAGCTCACATGAAGATTTTTCTCAGAGCTCTCCCGTAATAAATGACGTGGCAGAGAACAGTGAGAAAGCCCCAGGCAGGGCTCCGGGAGACCAGGGCTGGTACTGGGCCCGCGATTCGCCACGTGATCTCAGGAAAATCCTTCGACTCTTGAAACCTCAGCTTCCTCCTGTGTTAAATCAAGATATCACAACAGGTGGTCTCTAAGGGACCTGCGCTAGATGCTGGGGAGACCATAGTGAACAATCACCAGCAAAACAACCCGGGCAGGTGCAGGCGCTGTTGATCTTTGAGTTTAAGAAGGGAGACAAAGAAACAAAAAGACATACACTTAAAACCTAGAGCTGCAAACTGTCTTCAGCGCCACAAATAAAAA